CTTATAAAGGAAAGATCCTGTAGTGCTGTGCTGTGCAGTACCCCCTGAAGACCAGGACCTGGTACTTCAGAAGTGTTTTCTACGTGTGTTGGGTGCACCTTGCTTTTGTGACCAAGCTGCTTTTTCCTTCAGTCCAGCCATCTGCAGTGTCTCTCTTTGCTTGTCATGAGCCATGTTTATTTAGTCCCTGTGGTATTAGCGGATCAGTCTGTGGCTTCCTTGGGCTTGAGATGAATCAGATTCCGCATTTGCTGGAGATGCAATAGCACCAAATTGCAGGGTGTTTTCCCTGTGTTGTGCCCTGAGAAGCTTCTGTTGGTGGGTGGGGCCTACAGTCAGATCAGCTGTCTACCCCCAGCCCACTGTTGGTCATAGTCAGACTGGTGTGTGTGGATATCTTTCCGTCTCTCCAGAGCAGGCGTTACTTTGGAGTGGTGTTGGTGCTGTCAGGACTGCTTGCCCACTGCCACGTTTGTGGCTCCAGTTTGAATGGGCTGTGTTCAAGAGTGTATTAGAGGGGGCAGATCCACAAAGCACATGGGGGCAAGACTTGCAGTTTTAGCAAGGTTTGTGCACAGGTCCCCTGGGAGAAGGGACTTTGCTGCTCCTGGGACCCAGGCCCCACAAAGCATGCAGTTCAGGATACACAGTGTTAGCAAGGTTCGCTCAGGACATCTGAAGTAGGGAACCCACAGTGCTGGGTTCCCTGGGTGCCCCTGGCTAGAGGGGCAGATCTGCCAATGTTGGAGAGGCCGGGTGCAGTACAAGCCAATTAGGTAGTGTATGGTGGCACTGCACCGCTCCACAGCTGGCTGCCTGTTTCCCCTGGGGAGTGGGGAAAGGTAAGTGGTGCCTGCCAGCACCTTTGTTCCTAGAGGAGTTTCCCAACCATCTCTTGTCTCTCCCTCCAGACACACTCTAATATTAGTAAATAACCCTCCCTCCTGCGTGCCCCAGGCATTTTTCAAATTGCTGCTTCTATGTTGAATCTTTGCAGTCTGTTTTTTGTGCTGTCTCTTTAAGGCCAGGGACTCAGTTTCCTCTGCCCTCCCAACTTTCCCAGAGCCAAGCCTGCTGATTTTTTTTTTTTTTAATTCCAGGTTTTAAGTCCTGTTGGTTGTAAGAACTCTTGAAACTCTGCCTCTGTGGTTTTCAAAGCCAAATGTTAAGGAGGATTATTCTTCCTCACGCTGGCTCCCTGGTGTGATAGTCCCATTTCTCTCCCGTCTGGGTGCTGGTGGGTCCATCCCTCCCACAGATGGTCCTGAAATCTCTTGGGCTCCTCACCAGGTCTCCGCCCTTCCTACCCTCTTTGATGTGGCCTCTGTTCTGTGTTTAGTTGTGCAGTTGGTTGTGCCAGTCTTCGGGTCGTTTTCTGGGTTGTTTACGCTGATGTGAGAATTATCTAGTTGTGTCCATGGGACAAGGTGAACTTCAGGTCTTCCTCCTCTGCAATTCTCCTCAGCAAACCCTTAGGAAACATTTTCTTTTTCTTTTCTTTTCTTTTTTTTTTTAAAGATTTTATCTATTTAATCATGAGAGAGAGAGAGAGAGAGAGAGAGAGAGAGGCAGAGACACAGGCAGAGGGAGAAGCAGGCTCCATGCAGGGAGCCTGACGTGGGATTCCATCCTGGGTCTCCAGGATCATACCCTGGGCCGAAGGTGGCATTAAACCACTGAGCCACCCCGGCTGCCTTAGGAAACATTTTCAATGGAAGAAGTGCTAGTAAGCGTTTTGACCCTATTGTGGGGCGGCATCCTGATTAGTCAGTTAGGGTCTACGGCTATTTCAAGGTGGGTCACTTAGTTAAGCCTGTTTGCGTCAGCAGAGCAGTCACTATGGACCCTTTTGGCTTCCTTAAGTCTCCTTTGCTCTGGACGCCTGGGTGTCTCAGTGATTGAGGCTGCCTTTGGCTCAGGGCGTGATCCCGGGAGTCCCAGGATTGAGTCCTGCAGGGAGCCTGCTTCTCCCTCTGCCTGTGTCTCTGCCTCTTTCTCTGTGTCTCTCATGAATAAATAAATAAAATCATAAAAAAAAAAAAAGTTTCCATTGTTCAAACCTGTTGCCTCAAAGCTGCATCTACATTAACTGGAATACTTTAAGACTACTTTTACAATCAAGTGTGATATTTACTGGAAGCTTGTAGTAGATACTCCTAATGAGACTAAGGAAGCTCCCCCTTCTAGTTTTCAAAATTTTGTTTGTTTGAAATCAGGACTGTATGTCATACACCTTTCCCTAGCAATTAATATTATATATTTTTAAGACTGGATTTATTAATAGATTTTTATTTATTTTATTTTTTTATTTTATTTTTTTAAGAAGACTTTTTTTTTTTAAGATTTTCTTTATTTATTCATGAGCGACAGAGAGAGAAAGAGGCAGAGACACAGGCAGAGGGAGAAGCAGGCTCCATGCAGGGAGCCCAATGTGGGACTCGGTCCTGGGTCTCCAGGATCACACCCTAGGCTGCAGGTGGCACTAAACCACTGTGCCACCGGGGCTGCCCAATAGATTTTTTTTAAAATACTGATCCTTACATTCTTAGAATAGACAACACTTGGTTAGGCTATTTTTGATTTATAGTTTGCAATGCCAAGTTGTTTGCTAATTTTTAAAACCTACAGTACTGGGATTTCAAAGAACAGAAATTTAAAATCTTGGTAGGATCAAATTATAATTTTTTTCTTTTCTGGTTAATGCTTTTTATGTCCTAAGAAATTTTGCCAACACAAAGGTCACAAAGATTTTCTCCTGTATTTTTTCTAAATTTTTATACTATTACTATTCACATTGAAGTATATTATCCACTTCAAGTTTTTCTGTATGTATGGTGTGAGATAAAGGTGAAATTTGATTGGTACACATGTGGTAGATAGGAAGATAGGTAGATATCCAATTATTGTTAAAAAGGCTACACAGTTCCTTTTGCATTACTTTGACCCCTTTGTCAAGAATCAATTGACTGTATATGAATTTATCTATTTCTGGACTTTGTATTTGGTTCCACTGATCTGTATGTCTATTCTTATAACAATACACACTATCGCAACTACTGTGACTTCATAAAAAGTCTTTAAATCAGGTTATTTAAAACTTCCAACTTTGTTCATTTTTTCCCAATTTTTTTCATCTATGTTCTTTGGGAGGGGGAGTCCTGACACAGGACTGGATCCCAAGACCCTGAGATCATGACCTGAGCTGAAAGCAGATACTTAACTGACTAAGCCACCTCGGCTATGTTCAGTGATTTTTTTTTGATCTTACATATACATTGCTTCTTAAAATTTAATTTTAAATTGATTTTTGTATATGGACTTCGTATTCTTATTAATCTCTACTAGTTTTTTTTTCTCTACTAGTTTTTTAAAAAATATTTTATTTATTTATTCATGAGAGACACAGAGAGAAAGGCAGAGACACAGGCAGAGGGAGAAGGAGGCTCCATGCAGGGAGCCTGACATGGGACTTGATCCCGGGTCTTCAGGATCATGCCCTGGGCCAAAGGCAGGTGCTAAACTGCTGAGCCACCCAGGGATCCCCTAGTTTTGCTTTTTTTTTTTTTTTAAAGATTTATTTATTTTAGAGAGAGATCAAGAGCAGGGGTAGGGGTGGAGATAGAAGGTGAGAGAATCCCAAGCAGACTCCACACTAAGTATGGAGCTGGATGTAGTGCTGGACCCCACAACCCTGAGATAACAATCTGAGCTGAAAGAGTCAGACACTTAATCGGCTCTGCAACCCTAGGGCCCTTGTACTAGGTTTTTTGTTTGTTTTTTTTTTAAGTTTATTGTGTGTGTGTGTGTGTGTGTGTGTGTGTGTGTGTGTGTGTGTATTTTTAAAAGATTTTATTTATTCGTGAGAGACAGAGAGAGAGGCGGGGGGCAGAGACATAGGCAGAGGGAGAAGCAGGCTCCATGCAGGGAGCCCCATGTGGGACTTGATCCCAGAACTCCAGGATCACACTCTGGGCCAAAGGCAGGTGCCAAACTGCTGAGCCACCCAGGGATCCCCATATTATATGTATATATTTTTGGTAATATTTTTATCCAACATGGGGCTTGAACTGGTGACCCCAAGATTAAGAGTCACATGCTCTTCTGGCAGCCCCAGTCTGTGTTAGTTTTAAAGCTTTTTTGTAGATCCTCTAGGATTTTCTACAAACACAATCATGTCACCTGTGAATAAAGGCCACTTCTTCCTTTCCAATGTATATGTCTTTTATTTTTTTCTTATCTTATTGCACTGACTAGGATCTTCCTATAATGGGTCTTAGTCCATTTGGGCTACTATAACAAAATGCCACAGACAAGGTAGTTGTTTTTTTTTTTTTTTTAATTTTTTATTTATCTACGATAGTCACGCAGAGAGAGGCAGAGACACAGGCAGAGGGAGAAGCAGGCTCCACGCACCGGGAGCCCAACGTGGGATTCGATCCCGAGTCTCCAGGATCGTGCCCCGGGCCAAAGGCAGGCGCCAAACTGCTGCGACACCCAGGGATCCCAGACAAGGTAGTTTAAAGTATCAATTTTATTTCTCACAGTTCTGGAGGCTGGAAGTCTGAGATCAGCCTGCCAACATAGTCAGGTGAGCCCTCATCTGGTTTACAGAGTTCTTGTATCCTCATATGGTGAAAGGGCCTAGGGAACCTTGTGGAATCTTCTATAAGATCACTAATCCATTTCATAAGAGCTCCACACTTATGACCTAATCACTTCCCAAAGGCTCCACCTACTAATATCATAATATGGTGATAATTTCAAGATATCAATTGGTGGAGGAGGGACACAAACATTCAGACCATAGCACAGTGTTAAAAAGGAAGGGGGAAAGCAAGCATTATTGCCTCATTCCAAACATAGTGAGAAAACATTTAGTCTTTTACCATTTATACATGATGATAGAGTAAGGTTTTTATAAGTGCCCTTTATCAAGTTGGAAGTTTCTCTCTATAGCTAGTTTGCTTTACTTTTTTTTCTTTAAACTAGAAATTACTTTTTAAAATATGTGACACTTCCTGAATTTGCCTGTCATTCTTGCACAGGGACCATGCTAATCTTCTCTGTATTGTTCCAATTTTAGTATATGTGTTGCTGATGCAAGCACTGTTTTATTTTTTTTAAGCATGAATGCTATTGAAATTTGTCAAAAGTTTTATCTGCATCTACTGAATCATGTGATCATTTTTTATTTCTTCCTCTGGCAATGTGGTAAATTTCACAGATTGAATTTTGATTGTTAAAACAACTTTGTATTCCTGAGATAAATATGACTTGGTCAGAGAATATTAACCTCTTTTTATTGTTGAATTGGACTTGCTAATATTTTGCAAGGGATTTTGCTTCTGTGATCATGAGAGCCTTATTGGTAGTTTTGTTGTTTTTGGAATCAGAATATTTCTTAAATGAGTAAGGAAGTTTTTCCTCTGTTTTCTAAAAGGATTTGTATAGGATTGGTATTCTTCTGTACATATTTGATAGAATTTGCTTACTGAAAATATATAGGCCTCAATTTTGCTTTATGGTAATGTTTTTCATTATTAGTTCAATTCCTTTACTTCATATGGAGCTATTCAGGCCATTTATTCTTGGTATGTGTCCAATTCATATAAGTTATATAATTATTGATATAGACGTTCATTATATTCCATTATTATCCTCTCAATATCTGTAGAAACTGTAGTAATGTCCCCTTTAAAATTCCCAATATTGGTAATTTGTTTCTTTTCTCTGTTTTTTTATCATTCTTGCTAGAGGCTTATCAGTTTTATCAATCTATTCAAGAAACTGGCTTTTGGTTTCATCGAATTTCTCTATAGTTGGTCTATTTTCTATTTCATTTATTTCTGCTCTTTGTTGTGATGTTACCTTCTGCTTTTGATTTAATTCATTCTTCTTTTTCTAACCCTAAAAAACATTTTTATTGAAATATAATACACCATACAACCCAACAACTTAAAATGTACAATTTGGTATCTTTTAGTACATTCGCAGAATTATGTATTATTCATCATCATGCAATTTTAGAACATTTTCATTACACCCAAAAGAAGTCCTATATACCTTAGCCAACACTTCCTAATTACCCCATCTCCAGGCAAATCCTAATCTTTTCTCTATAGATTTGTCTGTTTTGGACATTTCATATATATGGAATCATATAATATATTGTCTTTAGTGACTGATTTTTCACTTAGTATATGTTGTCAGTGCTCATCCATCTTGTAGCATGTGTCAGTACTTCATTCCCTCTCATTGCTGAGTAATACTTCATTGTATGGCTTTTTTAGTTTCTTAATGTAGAAACTTACATTATTAATTTTAGACCTTTCTTTTTCCTAATGTAGGTAGTAAGTACTCCAAACTTTCATGTAAGCACTAATTGTTTCCATGATACTTACTAAGGGTTTTCTCTATTCTGTCTCTAATTAAATATATTTATTTTATGATATTTTTGTTTTTATAATGTCCTTTAATATTCCAAGAAAAAATAATAGGATAATAAATCTATTTATCTATCAGGCTCAACTGCAATACTCCTTGGAAAAAAATTGAGGAGGAAGTTTTACTTGTGGAATTCTTTTAAAATTCTTTATTTAAATTCCTTCAGTTAAAATGTACTCTATTATTAATTTCAGGGGTAGAATTTAGTGATTCATCAGTTGCATATAACACTTAGTGCTCATTATATCAAGTGTTCTCCTTAATGCCCATTCCAGTTATCCCTCCCCCACTCACCTTCCCTCCATCAACTCTCATTTTGTTTCCCAGAATTTAGCATCTCTTATGGTTTGCCTCCCTGTTTTCATCTTACTTTATTTTGCCTTACTTCCCCTATGTTCATCATTTTGTTTCTTAAATTCCACACGTTGAGTCAAATCATATGGTATTTGTCTTTCTCTGAATTTCTTCAAGAAAATACTTCATCACAATTAATTAATTTCTATCAGCTATTCTTCATCAGACTGCTGAGATCAGGGTTTCTCAACTTTGGCACTATTGACACTTGGGGCTGATAATTCTTTTCTTTCTTTTTTCTTTCTCTCTCTCTCTCTCTTTCTTACATATACCTGACATAAGATTATATTCATTTCAGATGTATAATGACTCAATATTTATATATATTGTGAATCATCATAATCTTTAACATCCATCATCACACATAGTTAGTTACACTTTTTTTCTTATGAGAATTTTTAAGATTTACTCTCTTAGCAACTTTCAAATATACAACACAGTATTATTAACTATAGTTATGATGGTATACATTACATCCTCAGGATTTATTTATTTTATAACTGGAAATTTGTACTTTTTGACTACCCTCACCCATTTCACCCACCCACCTCTTCCCCCTTAACTCTGGCAACCACCAATCTGTTCTCTATGAGTTCAGGGCTTTTTGTTGTTTTGCTTTTGTAGAGACCACAGATAAATAATATCATACTATTCATCTTTGTCTGACTTATTTCAGCTAGTATAATATCCTCAAGGTCCATCCATATTGTCACTAGTGGCAAAATTTTCCTCTTTCTCTTTTTTAGGTTGAATAATATTCTGTTGTGTGTACACACATACACACACACACCCCACATTTTCTTTATCCATTCATCCATTGATGGACTCTTAGGTTGCTATATAAATAATGCTGCAGTACACATGGGGGTGCCTATATATTTACAAGTTAGTGCTTTTATTTCCTTTAGATAAATACCCAGAAGTGGAATTATTAGATCACATGGTTCTTTTTTAATTTTTTGAGGTACTTCCATACTGTTTTCCGTAGTAGCTAGACTATAAATACATTGATTTTAAAACTGTTTGTATTTTACTATAAACATTAAAAGTTAATTTCCTGTAAATGCTATTGTATACCACAGCATTCACTCTTTTTCATATCTATTTCATAATTTCCCTTTTGGCATCTGAAGCTCATTTTCTAGATTTCCTGAGAAGGGATCCTGGGCACATACACATTCCTACATGTTCATAGATTTGTCTGTGCCCTTTATATTTGAAGGTTAGTTGTGTCAGATATAAAATTCTTCATTCACATTTTCTTTCCTTGACTATTTGAAATATATTAATCCATGTTCTTCTGGGATAAAGTGTTGCTGTCAACATCTGATCATGATCTAACTTTCTCTCCCTTATGAATCATGTGGACTTTTTGCCAAGATGATCAAAGAAATTTTTTCCCTCTTTAAAACATGGTAATTTACAAGGATGTTTTGGTATTGGTCATTTTGACTCACTAATCACAGATACACAGCATTTTTTTCATTATATAGTTTTAAATATTTTAAAGAAAGTGTGTCAATTCCAGCCTATTGATAATGATGCTATTACCTAGGAATGCCTGAGACACTCATCTGGGCCCATATTACTCATGGCAAACTCCAATAGACATTTTGTAGTTTGGAACCAATGTCGGTGCTGGACTATTCCTTGTCATTCTTATTATTATTGCAGGGCACACCTAGCAAAAGCGATCAGAGACTTAGAAGAACAAAATTTATTAAAGATTCTGGAGGGTACAGGGCATGATTGAGGGTTACAGGGCAAGATCATAGATAGAGAAAATGGGCAAGAGCACAGACCTGACCTCTGTCTTTATTAGGATCTGAGGTTGATGTGCCTTAAGTTTCATGGGTTCATTCTCTATTGGCAAACTCAAGCATAAGAGAAGAAATGTGCGAGGATCCCTGGGTGGCTCAGTGGTTTAGCGCCTGTCTTTGGCCCAGGGTGTGATCCTGGAGTCCAGGGATGGAGTCCCACATCAGGCTCCTGCATGGAGGCTACTTCTCCCTCTACCTGTGTCTCTGCCTCTCTTTCTCTCTGTCTCGAATGAATGAATAAATAAACAAAATCTTTTTTAAAAGAGTAGAAATGTGCATGAAGGGAAAAGTAGGGACACTCAAGTGGCCAGTTATCTAGATTACCCAGGAATTTCTAAAAGAGGATCTTCATGGGTTGGGGCAGCCTGGTTCCTTATCCAGTTGTTTCATTTGTAGCTGCTTCATACAGTTGGCAATATCTTTGTTGGAGATGGATGTCTTTGAAATGGACACCTTGGCAATCAAAGGCTTAATGTCAAGCAGTTATATTACAGTCAAATCCTTAATGTCACATGCTTACAATACAGAAAGTTTTCTTGAAGCATAATCTGTAAGCATTATTCTCCTCTTTGTTATATATTTAGGGATTCCTATTATCTCTATCTTAGATCTTCTTTGCGTCTTTTCCTTCTTTCTTTTTTTTAAGATTTTATTTATTCATGAGAGACACAGAGAGAGAGAGAGGCAGAGACAGAGGCAGAGAGAGAAGCAGGCTCTATGCAGGGAGCCTGATGCGGGACTCGATCCCGGGACTCCAGGATCATGTCTTGGGTCAAAGGCATACACTAAACTGCTGAGCCACCCAGGGATCCCCTTCTTTGCTTATTTTCAATGTAATTTTCTTTTTAATTCTTTTATTTATTTTAAAAATTGTCCTTTAAAATTTTTTTTAACTTTATCCTATTATCTGCCAATGCACTTACTTGCTTTCACCTTTTGGTTATTGTGAATAATGCCGCTATGAACTTGGGTATACAAATATCTGAGTCTCCTTTTAATTCTGTGGGGTGTATACCCCCAAAAGGGAATTGCTGGATCACAGGTAATTCTATTTTAGTTTTTTTGAAACTTATTTTATTGTAGTAAAATTTACAATTTTAACCATTTTAAGTGTATATTAAGTACATTTATTGTTGTGCAACCATCACTATAATCTATCTCCAAAACTTCATCGTCTTCCCCTACTGTAACTCTATCCATTAAACAATAACTTCCCATTAACCTCTGGCTGCAGCCCCTGACAACCACTATTCTAGTTTCTAGGTCTATGAATTTGATTATTCTAGATACCTCATATAAGTAGAATCATATCATATTTGTCCTTTTGTATATGACTTATTTCACTTAGCATGTTTACAAGATTCATCCATTTTGTAACATGGGTCAGAATATCCTTCCTATTTAAGCCAAATAACATTCTATTATATGTATATACCACATTTTGTTGATTCATTCATCCGTTGATAGATACTTGGGTTGCATTTACCTT